TTTTTTTTGCAAACCAAAACCTACTTTTATCATGCTTGCAAGCTAAAACCAAGAAAATAGAGTCAAATTCAAAGTTGCATGTTCTTAATAATTAAAGTAGGTGAATTTAAGGGATGAATAGATACAACATTGTCAAACATTTTTTACCCTAAAGAATGAAGATTGTATAGAAAGTTACTTACTTCCAACATAACTTATTAGAGATTATGTTTCAAACAAAATCAGGACTATTTACTGGATGCTTCTTGGCACTTCTTGCGGGATATGCTATAATGGCTCATGTGACTGGTTTGTATAGACCACATCAAAATTCTGTCTACATGGAAACTGTCTACCCTGTGCTTAGGTAAGTAAAAGTGGTTCTTACATCAGAAGATATAATTCAAATTTGCATAGTATTTGCACATCAATAAGTTCTGTCATGTCTTTGCAGCATGTTCAGCCTTGTGTTCCTACATTTCTTTCTTTATGGTTGCAACATTCTTGCATGGAGAAAAACTCGTATAAACTACAGCTTCATTTTTGAGCTGGCCCCTACCAAGGAACTCAAGTATAGAGATATATTCTTAATTTGCACGATGGCAATGAGTACTGTGGTTGGTGTTACGTTTCTTCATTTGACTCTACTGACAAAAGGGTATTCATATGCCAAAGTACAAGACATTCCCGGACTTCTTCTTCTGGTAAATATGTTTATCATGTATTATATCACATTCACTTTTACATCTTTTTTGGCCTAATACTTTAGTAAGCTCAGCTGAAAAATTTAACACTGTTACTGCACTTGCAGGGCTTCTTATTAATACTAGTGTGCCCCTTCAACATTATATACCGGTCAAGCCGTTACCGCTTCCTTTGTGTGATAAGAAACATAATTTTGTCACCCCTTTACAAGGTAGTGTTTCCCACTATCATCATTGTAGAATCATGTCATCAGGCACAACACACAGTAGCACTAATTGTCCAAAAAGTGAAAAAATGTTCAATGAAACAATTTGGCTTCTCTCTTCTTTTTAGGTTGTCATGCTGGATTTTTTCATGGCTGATCAACTTTGTAGTCAGGTAGTGAAGATTTTTCATTACCATTAATGAATAGCTTTTTACTCTAAGGGGAAAATGTAATATTTATTCAACAGTTGTATCATTATTTTTCAGGTACCAATGCTCAGGAGCCTTGAGTACGTGGCATGTTACTATATAACCGGTAGCTATAAAACTCAGGACTATGGATACTGCATGAGGACAAAGCACTATAGAGATCTAGCTTATGCAGTGTCATTTCTCCCCTACTATTGGAGAGCTATGCAGGTAAAACAAAATATTGAGTAAATTACATCAACACTTCTTAAGGTTCAGCAAAGTTTCTCATGATACTGCTCACTCTTTGACTCCTACATTACCCTTTTCATTATCCTGCAATAACCACTAAAAAAACAAGGTTCATGGTAATCTCAAAAGCCCTTAAGGAATGAAACTGCAATTTACTTTAAAAAGATTTGTGTTTTTCTTCCTTTGAAGCATATCATGGTATCCAATCCAAAAGGGTAGAACTGATGTGTCCTATAACTGATGTTTTGCAGTGTACTAGGAGATGGGTTGATGAAGGGCAGACAAGCCACCTTGTGAATCTGGGAAAATATGTATCAGCAATGTTAGCAGCTGGTGCCAAAGTGGCTTATGAGAAAGATGGGAGTGTAGTATGGCTCTGTGTTCTGGTGATAATGTCAAGTGCAGCAACTATGTACCAATTGTACTGGGACTTTGTAAAAGACTGGGGTTTGCTTCAAATGAATTCCAAGAATCCATGGTTAAGGAATGAATTAATGCTTCACAGAAAAGCCATTTACTACTTCTCAATGGTACATGTCAGGCCCCTCTCTATCTGTTCACCTAGGAGCCTGTAGTGTGGGCCATTTGCATGCAATTGGCACCCAAAACCTACCTTCACTCATCAAAATTTTAGACAAACATGCTAATTGTCGTAATCTAACCAAAGAACACATCAACCATACTATTTGGTGTTCATGATAATAAAAAGTCACAAAGTGGAGAATAAACATATTCTCAAAAGAAATGCTGATAGGGCCATTACACAAATTAAAGTGAGATTCCAAATCTAGATCAAAAAAGGACAAAAGATAACAACAGAAGGTTAAATTTTTGCCTGATGCTAAAACCACACATTATAGGAGCAAATTATTATTTCCTTTCAGATTTATAAATATGGGCCCTCCACTTTCACACGTTGACCATGAAAAACTTTTGCAATTTATGCAGGGGTTAAATCTTGTTCTGAGGCTTGCTTGGTTGCAAACTGTTCTTCATTCAAGTTTTGAAAATGTTGATTATCGAGTTACATGCTTATTTTTAGCATCTCTTGAAGTAATTAGACGAGGGCTATGGAATTTCTTCAGGTAAATGAGTTAAAGTGCAATTATTTTCACTCATGGAACACAACATACATGCATAATCTTTGTCTGATATGAACCAGGTTTCTCAAATTTTCTGTCAAAATTAGTCCCTGTCTTTGAAAAACAAGATTTTAGTCCTCATATTTTATAATTTATACATTTGTCTTTCATTGTGAGACTAAGTTTAACTCAAGATTCGTTTTACCATTACAAACTGTCTATCAGTCACGTGAAGTTTACACAAAAACACATCATAAAAATAGTATTTTTCTGGTGCAGATTGGAGAATGAGCATCTAAATAATGCTGGCAAGTTTAGAGCAGTGAAGATAGTACCACTTCCTTTTCATGAAGTTGATGAAGAAGACTAATAATAAAGCCATTGGGTGATTTATTCGAGGGTAGGGGATGCTTCAAGACAAGTATTTCAAGGAAAAGATTTTATGTCTTCCTTCAAGTTGATGTAATATTGATCAACTTGATTATTTCATTTGGTTTATTTGCCTGATATCATCCTCAATTCTATTACACAATTTTTCATTAACAAGAAATAGAAAATTAATGAAAAAGTGTTGTTCCACTTTTTTGTCATCTACTTTTTAGATCCCTTATTATCATCCACCACATTATGTATAATATACTATTAAAGAAGATGGGAAAGCAAAATAGCATGTTCTCCAATAAAATTGTTAGGGTTAATATGCTTTAGGATAATTGAGTTATTCCTCTTGCAATTGGTCCGAAATATTTTACATGAAGATTTGAGAAATGCATTCGGTGAAGCATATCATTTTGTTATATATCAATGTTTCATTGTTGTCATCATCGTGTCACTGAAATAGTACACAATGTAATCAAGAACCCACCAAAGTTATCATAAGGTGAAATGGAACCTATCTAGTATTCCACATTTTATTTTAAGTACTTGAAAGACATCTTTATCTTTGATAATTAATTGGATTTTGCTTTTGATTCCTACAACTTTTTCTTTTTCTTTAAATATCCCTAATACTTTTTAAAATTATCTTACATTGTTGTTTTTATTTTTCAAAACACTATTCAAACTGCTAGTGGAATAAGAAAAAATATAATAAATTTATTAAAAATAAATTATTAAAGAAAAAATTATATTAAAGTTGTTAATAGTAATCCGTCTAATCAAGACACAGTGCATGTGATCTAATGGAAAATTATCTCCATTATTGTATCTTTGCGTTTTGAAATGTTTGCTATATACATACCTCATAAAAATCAGCGTCTAAAAATCTTATTTAAATTATATGTCTCTTACAATCCATTAGATGCTACTTTGTGAAAGAATTTTAAAAACACTATTCACCCCTCCTTTTAGTGTTTTTTTGTGATTTCATAATAGTGATAACATACCTCCTAGCCATGGTCTAAGCATATTCAAGAAGAATTAAAGTCATTTATACAAGGTGAAAGAAAGCTCTTTCTCTTAGGTCATCATGGAACACCTCTAGTAGATTAAAAGTATATAAGCCTTGTATTAAGGACCAAGTGAAGAGTTTTTTAACAATTTTGCTTAAGTTATAGAGCAATATTTGAGTCTAGCTTAAGCTAATCTTGGGTGATTAGTTTTATAACCCTAGCTTAGGGTGTCCCATACGAGTCATGGTGACCATATAGCAAGCTCTTAGTGGAGAGTTTTCTTACAAAGGTAGTGATTATATGTCATTTTCTTAGTTGGAAACTTTTGCTAAAGTAGCTTTCCACATGGCAAGCTCTTAGTGGAGAGTTTTCTTACAAAGGTGATGGCTATGTGCCATTTTCCTACTTAGAAACTTTTGCTAAAGTGACTTTCCACATGACAAGCTCTTAATAGAGAGTTTTCCTACAAAGGTAGTGGTCATGTGTCATTTTCCTAGTGAAGAACTTTTGCTAAAGTGACTTTTCTTATGGTTCTAGAGTGAAATTTTTTTCTAAAAGTTAGAGTGCCACATGTCAAACTCTCCTTCACTAAGATAGGATTTTTAGGGTTTGGTGCAAGATAACATTTTAGGATTTCGGTCTACTTTGATCAAGACTAGAGTATCCCATGTGGTCTCCTTTAGCCACCATTCTTTAAAGTTGACTCAACCTCTCAAGAGAACTATCAAAAACCTTTATCCCACTAAACACTCATAAATCGAGAACATCATCTCCATTCATTCATTGTTTCCGCGTTAATCTCACTTTCATGATCTCATCTTTATGCTTTGGCTCAACCTAGCTTGAAGGGGAGCCTATCAAAGAATAGGATTTAACTTATATCTTTAATACCATATTAAGAAATAAACTTTAAACTTAATTAATCTTACAAAACTTGTGTAAAGTGAGATTTAAACTTACTTATATCATAAAAATTAATCTTATTTGTAATTAATTTATAATTATAACATTTATACTTTTGAAAATGTACTTTTAATATAGTAATTTACAATTTAAAACAATAAAAGTATACATAAAGAAATTGAAATAAATGTGAGGTTAAAATAACTTTTCCTTTTTAAAACTACAACATAAAATTAAAGATTAAGCTAATCATATTATAATTATTATTTTTGAAAGTATTAATACGTAGAATATATTATTTTTTAAGTAAATAGTAGATTCATCACTAAATAATAATTTTGGTTCAATAAAT